ATAAAAAATTTCCGTTTCTATTTAGTGTGATACAAAATTTCAATTGTATTTTATATAATAAAGGCCATGCTTAATAAATTATGTTTTGTAACAGCAGTAAGCTATGTATGCTAGCAGCATTGTCACAGGAAGTGCTGGCTTTCAGTTGTTCACTAGTTCATTGCTTTAGTGCCATTGTTGCATCATGAAGGCAGAAAGAGATCTCCAGAGTGAAAGAGTGGCTGGTGTACTTTTGAAAGTTCTAGTAACTTGTGGAAAAGATGGTGGTATCAGGGCCTATGTGTGAGTTGAGAAACTGTTAGTTAAAAGTATGAAAGTTAGCTTGTGTTGAAGAAGTGAATGAATCTAGGGTCAAACAGTTGTGAAAATCCATGCGAAATTAGTAAATGTAGTTTTTATTTAAGTGACACTGACTCTGGAAATTGCGACATGGGCAAGAGAGGGTGAAGATGGTGGATTAGGAGGGAAGCTGTAGAGAGAGATGGTGGACCCGGCTGTGGCACCGCCAAGATTTTGGATGCTGTTCATCTCATGGGAAGTAACAGATCAATCAAATTAATTGTTCAAGGCCAAGATTTGTTTTAGTTTTAAAAGAAAATAATATTTCTGGCAATTTTTTGTTATTTTCATTTTGGAATGCAAAGTTAATTTGAAAACTGATTAGGAAAATATTAGAACCGTGCATGGAGGGGGAGAAATGTGTAATTTCTTTTAAGGTTTTAATTAAATATTGTTGGAAGAGGAAGAATCAAACCATTAGCACATTAATTTTAAAATTTGAATTGATTTAATGATTTTGTGTTGAAAGGACATCATTTGATGTTTGAAAAGATTTATTAAACACATGCAGATCCTGTGCAATTTTAAAACTATTGTTATTTACCAATATGTTCTAGACCTTAGCCATATATTTATTTTTTTGTTTCGTAATTTTCTAAATTGCTCGAAACTACATATGGATGGGCAACATCATGTGCACCCACAACATTAAAAATTATTATGGCCGTGCCAGTGTTGAAGGAAGTATAAAGTAAATATTAATATCTTGAAATAAAGAAGTTTCAGCTTTGAGATAGGATTCAGTTATTGGACCAGAAGGTGAGGTACAATACTTATTACAAGCATATTTAGTCTTTTAGAATTATACAGTCCCGATGGTAACTAATACATTAACTAGCATTGTTAAAATCAATATTACTTTTCTCTTTGATGCTTGGTATAGTCTCTAATTGTATAGAAACAGTTATGCAACTGAAATTATTTTACTTAGCACAGAAACTTGTGTATCGGTTTATTGTTATCAGGCAACGTGTTGTAAAAAAATGTTCATATATTGTATGAGTATTAATTTTTGTAGTGAGCTGTTGATATTGACATCTGATGAATATGTTTATGACGTCGAATTTTATAGGTATAGACATTTGTATTCTTTGAAAATGTTCCCACCCTTGAATAGGTCATTTTTGACGAAAAGCACTGATTCGTAAATCAAGAGGCCAGGCAATGGTAGAATTCCTAGCTTAATAAAGAAAGGCTTACAAGAATCATGTGGGTGCGATTTTCCTCTTATTCGTACAATTTGTTTTTGTAATCTAAAAGTCTGGGAGAACTCTAGCGGGCATAAACTTTCGCGAAATATATACGAGCAGTATGAAGGCGGGCTGAATTTGAAAGAATTCTGAACGCATTGTTAAATGTTAATTGTTAATTTTATGTTCATTTCACTTGAATGGATATTCCATTTGAAGTTTGACTGAACTGAGCGACCCAAACATTTTGTTACTTTAATATACAGTGGCTCTGAATATTGAACGTACACTATGTAAGAAAACACAAACTGGCATAGAAAAAATATTAATTGCTGAATTGTGAAGAAAAAAAAAAATTAATGCAAACATTTACCACTCGTACATTTCTGTACGAATTTGTGGATTACACCTTGAATAGTTGAATGACGTTTTCCGTGCATCTTCGCAATACCTCGTAGTTATCTTCCCCCATTCTAAATTCGCAATAAATCTTCATTTTTCCATTGTCGTTTCCCTTCTCGAGGCCATTTTCAATTCGATGTTGCTATCTGCAAATCTGATCATCGCGTAATCTGTCACCACTTTGTCAGGGTTGCCACCTCTCCGGGTTTGACCCGGAGACTCCGGGTTTCATAGACAATCTCCGGGCTCCGGGTTAGTGTTGAAAATCTCCGGATTATATACAAAATGTAATACATTTTTTCACTTTTTAAAAAGTGTTTAATCTGTGTTGAATAATTTTATTTTATCGAATGATTTCATATAAATTTCAATAAATTACTGAAAATGCTGACAATTATTGTTTTTTTCTGCAAGGGTTGTCAGATGTCAGTAATATATGCCTAAGAAAACATCTGGAATTTTCAGTATTTGTTCTTAAATCATCAATTCGAATCAGCCAATCATGGATACTTACGGATTTCGGCTCGACGGATTTTAGCGCGTGGTCAAAACATGTTAATTTGGCGCCATCTGTAGTAGATGTATTGACCCCCCCCCCGGTAATCAATCATCTCCGGGTGGCTTCCATCTCGAAAGTGGCAACCCTACACTTTGTGCCCAGGAAAACATTGTAACGGATACGTTTGAAGGCGCGCTTCAGGTAGTGTACATTCATTTCTGTGCGACGCTTATTTGTAGGCAACCCAGAAAATATTTAATTTTACATCTAGTAAAGCATTTTTAAGCTTTCGAATTGCACTAGTCCTTCCAGAAAACGTGAAATATCAAAATTACATTTTTATCTCTAGAAATATTCATATGAGAAGAATTCATGTTACCATAGAGGTGCCCAGAATTACGTCACATTTGGTGGGAAAGTGTGGGTGGCAACTGTTAGGCACGATGATTCCTAGAGAATTACTAAGTTTTTGCCTGTATTATGCGGTTGCTGAGGTGCGTGTGCCTTATCACATTTGTAATTTACAATGATATTCGTTTTCTTTCGGTTCTGGCTGCGAATTTCGTCGACAAATTCGATTTAAAAATGCACTATTTTATCAACATACGTCAAGTCACTACCTTTTCGAAAACGGTTAGGAGTAAATATTATCACGACCTCAGCGGCAATGCTATTGTAAGGTGCTGATTTATAATAAAATGAAATGTATGAAACATTTGGTTGCACCTGCCCCTTCTTTGGATACGAAAAGTGCCAAGGAATTTCGAGCCCCTGTGCAATTGGGTAGAAGTGACGCCCGTATATTTTTATAAACTTTCGGCTTTTTAAATATTTATTTTAGAAATTTATAGTAACTATTATCATCAAGAGAAAAATCACCTTCATTAAACTTTAATAATCGTTTGAAAAAATCCAAAATGTTCATAAACACAGTCCCAAAAATGTTCGTAATTTTTCTCGAAGTGAGGAACGTTAAACAGTTAAACAAATTAATCAGAATTTAATATAATTTAACTATTACTTTTTCAATATATTTGTATTAAGAACATTATTATTTAAAAATATAAATAAATATTGCACCTTTTTAACATATTTTTAAAAAATGTTTGCAGTTTCCTGTGCTGAATTCAAATTGTGTTGGTTCAATATTCAAGTCACTCGCTTAAAATATTACTTGTTTTAGTGGCTCCTACATATTACGATGCTGTGTTTGTACAATACATTTAGGCAAAGTAAGTAAATGTCCTTCAGTGGGTTGTTTATATTATATATTAATATTATTGCAAAAATATGGAAAATCTACACACGTTTTTACGTGAAAATCTGAAAATGACAGGAAAATGTTTAGACGTGAATTACAAATTACTAAGATGAGAGGAACCTGTAACCTACTATTGACTTGAAATAACCATCTAACTGTTTTTGCTTCAAAGCAGAAATTTACTTTTGTCTCTTTCTTCCGAAGGTGTTATACTTTTACATTCCTGAGTTTTGGAATCTAAAAAGCTTATTTTCTTTTCTGGCCCCTTTTGCCCCAGTTCACTATCAGACACAACTTGGTTATCGTGAAAATACAATTTATTTTAGAAAAATAATTACATCTCACTGCGATAAAGTGTACCTAAACAAAACAAAAACGTTTTGAAACCATTATTGGCAGAGGCAAGCATCCAGCGAAGAATGATTACGTTTTAAAAGAAAAGCGACACATGTGTTTTATTCATTAGCTCACAGCCTTTTCCAGGCTGCTGCTTCCATCCAGAAGCGACAGTGCTGCCCTCCGAACTACTAAAAGTTACGTGTTCTAGACATATCTATTAATTAAAAGAGTACGTTCAATTCTGAGAGCCAATGATGTTTAAAGTTTATTTGAAATGGAAAACAGCATTGAAACCGTTTTCCCTTCGTTTACTGTTAATTTGTTATTAAGAAACCAATTTGAAATATCTATTACTGCAGTATTTACTGTTTCTTTATTGCAAAGAATATTTGTATCATTCGTAAAGGGAACTGTTCTTACGTTTCGAATCGTCGAGGGCATACGTTTACGTGTAGTAGAAAGAAAATCGGGCATTTGACAATGAATCGAAAAGGTGAATAAAAAATTTCCATCATGCCATGATTACTAATGACATCGTTAAGGTACGAACGTAACCAATCTAGGGCAACACCAGTGGCAAGGCGTCTGGTTATCGATAGATGCGCCGTTATGTAAATAATTTATTTTCAATATTTTAGAGAAGAATTGAATATTTGGACAATACAAACATTTTAAAGATATTAGTAAAAACATGAGTCAGCTAGAAACACATAAAGGATTCGCCAATATAAGTAATAGTAATAGATTACTGCGTTAGGACGTGTTCAGCAAAAGTGGCTTTATTATTAAATAAAATTAGGAATCGCGGGGCTCATTTGTACATAAAAAGGGAGAACCGTGTCCTAAAAATTGCAAATAAAATAATTATAAAATATTGTTGCGTAGAAGTGCTATACATTTTATAGAGTGACAGGAATAGTAGGGTTTAATACTACAATTGTGTAATGAATTTTACTAGGTGATTTCTTACTCTGACCTTTCCCAAAAGAGTGTTTCTGTCAAATTGGACTTCTCCAAAAACTCGGAGCCGTGCTATTCCACCATCAGGATACAAGTTGAATCTTAGATGTGTCCATTTTTCTTGATTATTTATGTTAAAGTAATTGAAACGTGAATCTTCATAACCAGGTTTCAGTGGAGTCATAGGAAGCAAGTAAGCCCATTCCTAGATCAAAAACAAATGAATTCACAATTTTAAAGAAATGATGATAGGGGTTCATGTATTAAAAATTGCTTCTGAGTATTTGTACATTATTTTGCAGTGATTTATTCTATTTTCTTGAAGTAATAAAGCAACTTAACAAATATTACTTTTGAGTAATTATTGTTAAAATGAATTAAAACAATATGAAGTATCTTTAATTTATTTCTTGAAAAGTTCACTAATCGTTTTATGACCAGCTTACAACCTAAATTTGATTTTTTCCCCTTTCGTTTTATGACCAGCTTACAACCTACATTTGATTTTTCCCCCTTTATTATTTATTTGTTTGTTTATTTATTTATTTATTTATTTATTTATTTATTTATTTATTTATTCATTCATTCATTTTTAAAGGATTCTTTGTAATCTGTTTATGGTTATTATGAATTGTTTCCAGATTCAATACTCTCTCTGATTTTTGAACGATGTAATTTGGTTGTTGATTGTTAGTGTCAGTTGAAACATAACATTAATAATATATGTACGAATTGGTTTCTTTTCTGTTTTCTTGTGTGCAGTTTGACCAAGATGTATATTGCTGCTCAAAACAAAATCTTCACAACTCAAAAATTTCAATTTTTTCGTTTGTAGCAACACACACACGACATTGTATTCCCCTTGTGCTTGAGAAGTTACGCAAGTCTAATTTGTGTTTTACAGCAGTCGGAGAAGTTAAGATTTTATATTAAGGCTAGGCACTTATCCAGTTTTCAATTTTAAGCGTTTCTCCTGAAAAAAAGGTTTTTTGATTTGTGGTATTTTTCTGCTGAAGCAGTGATGTCATTCTGAGTCTAGAGTATCAACGTCATGCATTAGCTTTGTTTTTGCTCCTAGTTCCAGTAGCAGAGTTTTACGTTTTTTCTGATTTCTGTGATGTATTTTAGTTTAACTAGTTAGTAGGTACCTATTTTGTATTTGTCAAAAATAAACCTGAGACTGGAGTTGTTGAATCTGTCTCATTTCTTCTTCAGAAGCTGCTCTACCCATTTCACTCTTTCGTTGAGGAATACATTCTTCATCTAAAACAAACGGTCATGCATTGAAAATATAGAGGAAATGACAAGAAATATTTTAGTTGAACAAAAACTAACATAATGAACTGAATGAGTCAACACACTAGATCATATACTACCTTTGTACTTTTCGTACATTCTGAAGTAGAAACTATGAAATAGAAAGGCGCAACATCATAGAATTGTGACTTTTGGTAAGAAGATTCCTTCTTCCGAGATACAATTTGAACTTCTGAAGTCATCTTGAAGTAATTATTATGGTCTGCAGGTGAGGGATACACTTATGAATTTCTCCTTGACACATTGCACTCGCGTATAGAAACATTTTTACCAGTTTTGTCATTTTACACCTCTCTACTTTCAAGTATCCTATTAAATACTGCATTTCGTACAATTTCTCATTAAGATACAAGAATGAAGGACATTAGAAATGTCAATGAAGAAAGAGACATTCATACTCTGTCGTGTTTAATATATAAAATTAAGCCAAATGATTTAATAGGACATATACAATGCGACTATTTTATTAGTGTGCCACGATCGTGGAAAATTCTGCTCAGCGGACGGGCCCTCAATCAGCGTGGAACGGCGCGCTCAACTTCTCAGAGAACGCTGCTCAAGGTCTCGCTCTGCAAAAGGTACGCTTTTGCGTCTTCTTGCATTGTCGGTTTGTGATGCCTCCCCCGAAGTTCACTCTCAGACAGAAAGTGCTTGTGTATGACACTTACGTAAACTGTGTCAAATCGTTATGTGCATCTCACCCTTCTTCCAAACGTTGACAAATGAAAAGGGAAATTACTGTCATTTACTCCGCAACCGCACATACTGTTTCAGTTTCCTTAAGGATTTACGTGGCGTTTATGGAGACTGGAGACAATAATCACAGGTGGTTTGTGGCCTGCACGCTCTCCTGATCTGACTACTTGCGATTTCTTTCTGTTATGGTTCCTGAAAGATCGCACACATGCGACAAAACTCCACACGGAAGAAGTATGAAGGCACAATATACAGGTACATATCTCTGCAACACCACAGAATATCCTTTATGAGCGAACAAGAACTCTCTTATCGGCTCTGATACAATAATGTATCAGAGCCGCGGTGAGCAGTTCCAGCATCTACTATAACGCGAAAACAATTTAAACTTTGCGGTAGAGGGAAGGTAGCGAAAAGCCACCTTCGCTCTTCAGCGACAAACGCCCTGCCTCAGTTTTCGGGGCATCCGTGGCCTCGTTCGTCAAGGTCAAGTCCCCGCGCGACCGGCACATTTATAAAATGGTCGCACTGTATTTTATATACAAGTTTTCACCCAACACTTCGGATCGTTTTATTTTTTCCAGTTAAGCTTACCTTTAGGTTGAAGATAAGCAGCTTGTAATGAAACTTTAGGCGCATAATTACCAGTGAAGTATGCAGTGTCAATAAGCACCCCTTTTATAATGCCCGGTACTCCTGAAAGAAAAAAAAGAACAAAACATAAAATTATTTGATATGAATATAATGTCAGGAACCAACAAAGTTTATGGATCATAATTGATAAGTGACCTCTCAAAGAGTTCAGATTTTGTTTAAAATATACTAAAGTAGATGCCAAACGCACAGACTACTACAGCAGCTATTGTTTATCACCAAAATTTTATTTTTGTGCTTAAAACATAAGTATGAAGCATTGGTTCGGGGTGAGCGTGTTATTTACACAAGTGAGAAAAGTCATGGGATAGCAATGAGCAAATATAAAGATGGCAGTTGTATCGCGTAAAAAGGTATTAAAAGTAGAGTGTAGTGGCAGAGTCTTCACTTGTACTCGAGTGATTTATGTAAAAAGGTTTCTGACGTGATTATGGCAGTATGTCGGAAATAAACTGGCTTCAAAGCGGAATTGTAGTTGGAGCTAGACGCATGGGACATTCCATTTCAGAAATCGTCAGGGTATTCAATATTCCGAGATCCTCAGTGTTAAGAGTGAGCCGAGAATACCTATTTCAGGCGTAACTTCCAACCGCGGACAACGCAGTGGCCGACGGCCTTCACCTAATGGCAGAGCAGGAGCGTTTGGATAGTGCTGCCAGGGCAAACAAACGCCGCGTGAAATAACCGCAGAAAACAATGTGGAACGTTCGACGAACCTATCCGTTAGGACAGTGCGACAAAATGTGGCTTTAATGGACTATGACAGCAGAAGACCGACTCGAGTGCCTTTGCTAACAGCACGACATGCTGTGCAGTTCTACTCCGGGGTTCATGACAATATCTATTGGACCCTATACTGCGATTTTCCCAACTCTTCCCATGCTCCCAGGTATCAGCAATGATTTTTTCGGCGTTTTCCTACAACTAAAATCAAATTTGTTCTCCACAATCAATTCGTTTGGTAAGAGCTGATTTTTACAACAGGCTTTTTCTAAGTCAAAAATCTAAATCATCGAGATTGTAGTTTTAAAGTGCAAACTTTTTACAATTTTTGAAAATACTCAGTGTTCGCCGGAAACGGAACATCAATTTTTTACCGTTCCTTGATATAAATGAGGGGAAAATTCAAAGAAAACAATGGTGCGGTTTTTAGTATTAAGAAAACAAATGGCCTTTATTTCACCAAATTTACACGAAAACGACTCGTATTATCGAAAAATTGAACATGTCCTTTGCATGAAATAATGTCAATCTGTCTTCAAAAAACAGTTATCGTTATGGAAACAATCTCTATCTTCAATAACGCAGTTGTAGCAAATTGCGCAAAAATATTGCATTTTTGCAAAATTGCACTTTCGCAAAATACGTAGTTAAAATTGCTTTTATATATTTATTAACCAAAAAATGTTTAAAAATTTACTGGGCAAAAATCTATTGCCCAGTAAAGCATCGCAAGTTTGCCCCCATTGCAAGTTTGTAGTTTTGAAATGTTAACTTTTTTTGCGATTTTGGAAAATACAGAGCGTTTGGTGGAAACGGGCCACCATATATTTTTTACCGTCCCTTGACGTAACCTTGATGTCTTACCGAGGCGGAGGACGGCCCAGTCGTGGCCGGGCGCGCGGCGCCGCCGTGTCTCCCAGCCGTCCATCCACTTGCCGCACGCGGTGAACTCCCCCTCGCGCCACTCGGGCGGCGACGCCTGCGCACGCCAGCCGCCACACTTAGCATCCGCCCCAGTGATGCTAAACATCGATGCAGCACCCAAAGGTTTTTTGATGTCGATAAAAAACATCCACATAAGCATGGATGTTTTGAAAATAATAAAACATGGTGACCATAGTGAAGGCTCATTGGAGCAAAACATCCATACTTTACCGAAAGGTTTTCGATGTCGATGAAAACATCGACAACAACATCGATGTTTTAAATATAATGAAACGTGGTGGCCATAGTGATGACACATTGTAGCAAAACATCCATACATCACCAAAAGGTTTTCGATGTCGATAAAAACATCGACAAAAACATTGATGTTTTAAATATTGTGAAACATGGTGGCCATAGTGAAGGCTCATAGGAGCAAAACATCAATACTTTACCGAAAGATTTTCGAAGTCGATAAAAACATCGACAAAAAACATAGATGTTTTAAATATTACGAAACATTTCGAGGTAAAATGTTCTGGTTCTAATGTGATGCGTAATACGTCAATATTAGTTTAAAGTATACTCTGCTTTAAATTTGACTGTAATCTTAATTTTCAAATCAATGTTCTTTGTAGTAAAAGTTAAAATTGCAGTTTAATGATATTACCACGCACAAAATTAAAAAAGTAATATTACAACATTGGGGAAATATTGATGTTTTAAAAACATAGTTGTTTTTGCCATCCTTAATCGTCCCTGCCTCTCCCGTGGGGCGCGATTTTGAAGTAACCCGTCCCCCTGAGGCGTGTGCACGGGGGAGGGGACAATTTTGAAATGTGTGTCGTAGCCCTTGGTGAAAAAGTCTATAAATATGTTCAATATGATTTTCCCTTTACTTAACTTGACAATTTGGGGAATTGTTTTACATGATTGGGGAAGAAGCTCTTCAAGCCATCTAGCAAATCTGTGAGAGGTTCAACATTAAAGCAATATCGTACGAGTCTTTATTAATTGTGGCATTTGTGACGTCATGGATACTCACAGCGACCACAGACACAGAGCTTTCATATAACAAATATATTTATTAACAAGAAAACAAAACAAATATATACACTTAATAATCTACTTACACCCTAGCTCTGCTAGACATACTATCCCCTGATCGCGGGAGCGATCCAAACCCGGTTGAAGATGGTTTTGATTGTGGCATTCGCCACTCCTACTTTTGAAGCGCGCACAAAGCCTAGCTTCCGTGACCGGATGTCACGCTGGGACACAAAGTCCGTTCTGGCGCACCAACGGCTGGTTTGCCTCGATCGCAGGAGCGATCTTATCCGATTGAGAATCGGCGGGAATCGTGGCACTCAACCACTCTTCACCTCGGAGCACGCACACAGCATCGCTCCCCCGTGACCGCAATCACCCAAGGACCTAAAGTCCGCAGGCTTCGTCAACTAGTGACTCGAGCCTTGCGAGCCTGGCTCGCATATGCACCGTCGTGGCGCCAAGTTTTGTGCACACGCACGAGGTTCTCCCACTGTCTCCAGAACCCCCCCCCCCCGCCACTGGCTCTGCACACTCTGTTATATAGGCGAGGCCCACGTGACCTACTACGTCACGCCACCCCCTCGCTTGTTATAACAGGGAATAGGCCGGATGACTCCCAAAGCCTTGTGTCTCCCGTTTCCGCGTTCTTGCCTTTACGGAAAAACCCTTCTTCCTGTGGCGAGGCTAATCCTCTACCAAGCGTCCCCAAATAGATGCCATGAGGCACGCTGGCTAATACGTTACACATTGAAAGTATAATTGCATCTTCATTGGCGGCGCTGCGAACCGAATTTCGTATGCATTCCGTGAAGTCATGGAGGTTAAGCGAATTCGAGACCTCGCGGATTCCTGGTTGGGTGACCGTCTGGGAACCCGGGATCTAACGGCCCCGAGCCCCGGGCCGAAGGGATAAAAGGCACTGGCTGACTACGACTGACGATGATTGACTAGTTTAAAGGAGTATTACTCCATTATTCCATGCGCTGAAAGGGGCTTTAGAGACGCGCTGCAAAGGTGCGGTGCTGATTGTAGTCCTTTTATTTATTTACTAGTAAAATATGGCATATCATGTAAATAAAAATGTGTTATTTAATGGTTTAGCGCTGTAAGAGGCTCAGAAATGTACTTGGCACTCACTTTTCTTTTACGCTGCGCATGCCTCTGCCATGATCAGATGGTAATTTAATTCACATTTTGCATGATGATTTAATTCACATTTTAAAAATAGATCCACATTTTTTAACTGACGGACTAAAATGTAGATGAAATTATTTTCGTAATGATTTTGGTTACTTATTTTCAGAAGTTCAGTGTGGTTGGGAGTGTGGTTTGGTCTAGTTCATGCCCCCTGAAGATATCAATCCGTCTGTCATGCCACGAAAAGAAATTCTCCTATTCATTAATAGGTAAAACGACTCCACAAAAAGCGGGAACTTCATTTTTACCGTTTTACATTCCACGATACCAACGGCTACACCAACAATAACAAAATGTTAACAGTAACAATATTGTAAGGTATAAAGTAAATATAAGAAATAAAATCTACAAAATTTTAGGTCTAAGAAATAAAGCAAACAGATGTAGCTTACTTCAAACTTGTGAGGGTATAGAACAAAAATTCTTGTGAGATCATAGCAAGGATTGTATATTATTTGCAAATCATTAGAAATGGTATAGCAAAATACGTTAAGAAACGTTTCAGAAAAGTGCAGAGGGAATGTCTGTTTGCCAATTGCACGTGATAATGTCGGGAGAAACAAATCCAACACAATATTGATTAAATCACAATAACAAAGGTGAACATAATATGAACTTAGTGATAAGTGATAGTAACTTTGACAAAAGCATCAAAAAGACATTGCAGTAAACTGTTACATTACCTTCAAAAGATTTTCTGCTACTGCAAACCAATCATCAGTGGCGAAGAGGATTTGACCGCCCACCTGAAAAGGGATGATAATAGTGGATGACTTTCATTAAAACATTTTCAGAGGAATTTTAACAGTAAATAATTTAAAAAAAGTTCTATGACTAACCGCTGTGATGGAACATGATTTTCCTATTGTCTTCAATACTTTTGAATCTTGTAGCTAGACATAATGCAAATATTTATGGAGACATTGTGAGCTTGAAGAATTGCTCTGAATTTCATTTGTGTTTTCAATTCATTATTTGGGTCCATAATAATACTGAATGGGAGAATTTAAATAATTTTAGGTAATCCTTGTAGACATTCTTCTTTCATTATTTTCATTGACAGAGAAACTAGGAACTCACAAATTGTCAACATCATAGCAGCGTGTATTACGAACAGCCGATCTGCCAACGGACACACATGTTTTCCAAACAGGAGGAAGACCTGAATTTGAGGCCAAACAGTAATACCCACAAAGGAAAGTTTTTGGTAATTTTGTGAAGTTAATAGTGTGGAAAATGCCATTTCGAAATGCCATTTAATTAGTTTGTTTCGAAATTCGCAGATCGTAGAACGCTTAATTATATTGGCATGGAATTGCTATTCATGGAAATTAGCCTTGGAAAAACAAGCGCTTACCTATTTTGATAAGGAAAAGCTAACGTGGGAAGCTTCTCACAGACCACAGAAACGTTTAGTTATATTGACAATTAAAAATATTTGGTTTTTCCCTTATTTGGTTTATATTTTTATAAATAATATGTTAATATTGCACATTTTTCAGGAGGGCTCAATCAATTTTTGTTGTGAAAGGCAGAAGATAACGTTTTAATAATAACCTCTCTGAATATAAAGCTGCCCAAATAAATGTTCAGAAACGTACCGTTTCGTTGCACAGGTCATTGAACTGCGTAAATTCGAGCACATCCTGTTCCTGGTCGCTCGGTCTCTTGGCCATCGCTGTCCGCTCTAACTGCACGCTGCACGCTGGTCGATACACTGTCGTATGTAGTCGCGCATAGGCAGCGACTGAAGACGTTGCTATCGGTTCGTTCAGGTGGGGGAGGGGGCGTATCTTCGCGGACCTTGACTTATTCGCGGCCGCCATATCTCATTTCTGCAGTGCGGGAGGCCGTTCTAAGAATGGCTAAAGACACGACCGTCGCGAAACTTGTGTTGCGTAGAAGCTTGAAAGATGGTATTTCGCTACATTCTGAAACGCCTGAACATCGCTCGCCGCGAAATGCATATATTCAGTTCGTGTATGAGACCGACGCTAGACGCGCAATGAATCACTAAACATGCAGTTCTTTTGCCTTGGAGTTGCATAAGTTTTCAAACAACCAAGAGCAATGGTTTACAAACATTTATCTTCGTGCGAATTAGCAGAACCAGTCGAGTAACTGTAATAATCCCCAGTATTACGTACTAAAATCCAGTAAATAATCCCCAATTCCTCGGTATATATGAGATCAATGAGAATGGAAACTAAAATTTAGTTAAACGGCTAGATCTTTTCCTTGTGCAAACCTGATAAAACTGGTTACGATATATGGTAATTAGTATAAAGTTATGCAATTCCTTGTTAAATTCTTGAATGTCATTTGCTGCTTACGATTTCGTGATGAAATTTCAATATCCCTAACGGAATGTTGAAAAAGCTCTTCAAGTGAAAATATGAGGTTCGTATGTTTATTTCTCACTTTTTTTCGCTGAAATATCTTTCTAAGATATCCTGTTGAAATAATCTGTTCCCAGTTGAAAGCAGTCTGTGCGTTTCAAAAATGATCAGTCTTTCTTCATTATTGTGATTGCGGAGTTGTCACTTAATTGGGTGAATTGTGGGTGTCGTTGTGACAGTAAATATTTCAGTTACAAATGATAATTTTATTTGGTATACAATGCCGTACTGTGAAATGTCGCGGCGATTTCAATGACGGGAGTAAAATAAACATGACATTCCTTATTATTAAGCTTGCCAGTAGTCATATTGAAACCAGATCTTGGAATCCATCTTTTTTAATTTGTTTGAATAATTTTTTAAAAATTTGTTCTTTTTCCTATGTACTCAGTCAGTATTTTATACGCTTGTAAACGTTTGTTCAATTTCTCTGCTAGATAAGACGTAAATAATTAATAGATTGTGGGGTAAATATGTGATAGGCCACGATTTACCAGGGATGTCCGCGAGGTTTTAGAATTTTTTATGTAAAGTGTCATAGGTATTTTGTATCATGCGTCATGGATGGCGCAGAAACTAAGGAGTCTCCAACTTTCCTTCAAATAGTTTCATTTGTTTATTCAAAGAATTTCTTGAATTGTTATTTTGGGATATTTTGTCGCACTGGCGTAAGAAAGTCAAGTAGTGTCATCTAAGAATACAAGTGTCTTCCACGCGAGGCGAAGGCCGCGCGCTGTCATCTGTCGAAATTTAACTAGTATCGCCTAGGAACGCAACTAGAAGGCCGCGCATGTGTCGTAACTTACTCTACTCCATAACAAAGTAGCTTAGCAATATTGTTTGTCACCGTTCTAGTTTATTGTCTGAAATCGCGTTCAGTCATTTATTGTTGAAAATAATGATTAAAGTAATCGTTCGGCCATTAATTGAGAAATACGGGCTGATGTAAAGTTTGAATGAGGTTTTATGAAGATATGTTGAAAAATAATAGTTATTTATGCACCAAGGGCGTATAGAGCGGGCCCGAGGGCGTTTGATCCGAGGGTTTTTTGTCGCCTGAGGTCATTAGAACAAGTTAACGCCCGTGATACATACATTATTTTATTACCCTTATTTTCAACTTAGACGACTTACATTTGTAGATATTTTTGTGAAAAGTAAATATATTTTTGTTCTTCCTCATGATTCCACTATTCACATTCAATAGACAACCTTCATTAGTTTTTACTCATCTTTCCGTAAAAATTGTTCAAAACTTCCGTTTCACAAGTTCAGTTATATACATAAGGAAATTAAAATATATATAGAAATATTCACTTTTTGGTCAGATTTAGCAGAACGATGCTGTATTGCGAATGGTAAGGTGGCGTAGTTTTCCTTTCTTGCCGCAGATAGTTCGAATCGCACACCAACACGTCGTCATAGGGTATTTAACACGGAACTGCGCTACTGTATAATACGTATAATGGGGGAGTGCCTGTTTGTGTCTGTATAACCTGGTCCATGGCAATATTTTGGAGATGTTATTTGATAGTTACGGACCCAAAAGTTATATTAATTCCCATTTCCACTTTTAAATAAAATAAATTATATGTATCTATTTTATTTGAAGTTGACAATTGAGGGTAAAATTAAACATTTAGATTGTAAAACATATTTGTTTTGTAATCATGGTTATTTAAAAGTACTATAATTGCTTTAACTTCCTCCGTTCAGATTAAGAAGTTAAACAGATGAAGATTCTTGTTTGTTCAAAGACCTCTCCGCCCATAAGGGAGACTTTCATTTATCTACTTTATTGCTAAATACGACAAAAACAATGATGTGATAAAACAACATAAAAAGGAAAAAATAAACAAATAATTCGGCATTCAAACATAATCCTACCTGTTGTTTGGCAAACATTTTTATGTAAGGGAAAACTTGAAAATAAAACAAACATGAAATAAGACAATAATTAGTGTAGAATGTAAACAAATTTCAGATCTTTTTTGTTTGAGAGAAAACATTAGGCAAAAATATTTTCGTATGAAGGCACCGTTCTTCGTTATATTTACAGCGAGTTTTGCTCTCGCATTCCCTGCTTCAGCGTGCGCGTGTACGCCTCTTTCTCGATTTGGAGGGGAAACGAGAGTGAAGTCAGGGGAAGGGGTTCATGCTCATAGGAGAACTGGGCTTTCCAGGCGGGAAAATAGCTCGTGCGGGTGCAGTTGGACATGCCTGAAGAAGGATATTAGAAACTGATTCTCTTGCAAAGAAAAATATGGTGGCAGTGTTTTCCTCCCACATCGGCGTACTGCTCTTCGCCAGGGACGAAATTCTGAATGATGCCTATTAAGGTCACACACTCGAGCACTTGCGAGACGCAAAGTGTGCAAAGAAATGCACCAAAGACATATGTAGGCCGTATAAATTAATGTGTTAATCTGTTGTAACGCCTTGGAACACATTTTGGACAAGCATGTTCACTATAGTATATTGTATGGTACTTATTTTTGATCAGGTCGCCTTTCCGTAACCTTTTGACCTCAGCAGTTCATCCTGACAATGCACGTTTCCTGCAACACGAATTCCAGGGACACCTGCCCCGCCCCGCTGCCCGCAAGTTCATTCAGCTCTTGTTGTAATGGGGCCCTCCCCCCTCGGATGTCGACGACAGTCACCCGAGGCCCGTCTCGTCAATCAGGTTGAGAGAACTGCCAAGTCACTTGTCTGCCCGGCAACCCGGATAACGGAAGCCGGTTTGGGAGAGGGTATCATAGTTTGGATCGGGAAAAGAGTGGGTTTGGGGGATGATTCGTAGTGGGTAGGTCTGTCCCCCCCCCCATGTCACAACGCACAACACCCATGCCTCATGCGTGATCCATGTCCGTTCTCTTGGTGTAACGCGTATTTCGGCGTTCCCGCCCTACGCTTGTGGGCCACTACGGCGGCAAGGAGAGGGAAGAAGAGGGTTGAAAGGTGATTCATGATGGTGGGAAGAGGCCCACTATTACGATCCAGCACATCTAAAACAGTTACTTACAACTGGAGGAGGGAATGAAAGATTGACAAACTACACTGTCAAAAATTTCCGCATTACTTTAATGTAAATTACATAAAGTAGTTATCATGAACGCACATTAAATTTAATGTTCACATTTACGTTAAGATACAAGAGACAAAGATTTATAGTCATATCTGGAAGATGTGAATTATCTTGATGGACTGGCGATTGTGAATACTTGATATGAATGAAGAGAGCAGGGGAAACGGGAGAACCTCTACATTAAATGTGCACTTTTTAACTTACGAAATCAATTTAATATACAAATATAATAAGCTCTTTTTAATATACAACTTTACATTAATTTCATGTACAATACATTAATCTGTATTAGATTTAATGACATTTCCTACAGTGTATATTTAAGCTCCATAGAATAAATAGGTTAAATAGCTGTCGGGATTGTTGAGAGAGAAGCTTCAGGATAATTCGGGTATGGTCGTCGTTCAGTCGCGTAAATATATGCTATTAATTATTGAGAAAATCTGAAAATACAGTGATTCACAATTAAGAGAACTCGAGTTTTAAAACAAATTGCGGAAAGTTGACATTCCTCGAACGACTTGCAAAAGAAAGTGAAGAAGGAACTAAAAGTAAAAATTCCGACACCCGTTCTATATCTCCGAAACTAGTGAGTATGTAACATCCATCATGCTGCATAACCTAAACAAACCTTGCCCGGTGCTGGGTTCAACCACGCGACAATAATTCAAGCTTAGGCGCTCTCGCCTTCACCACCACGAATTTGAGCGATTTTTCTAAGAATGGACCGTTTTGACAGCTAGTGCTGGCAACGTAACTGAAGGTTCTGTGGTCGTTGTGCTCTTCAGCGCATTGGACTCTCCTTCTTTCATTCGTTCGTTTGCAGTTGGCTAACTTTTAAAAGGCTTCGATCTTCCTTTTGTCATGTCTTAATTCGACGAAAATATAGTTCGCCACGAGAAATAATTGAAATTAGGAAGTGCAGTGCTACTGTCCTCTTCTGTAAAAATTCCTTGTAATAAACATTGCATTAAATTTCTTTTTTATGTGATACGTATTATGTTTATTTGAAAACCGAGTCTTGAATGTCAGACCCGTGTTTCCTCCTCGTGTGCGGTGAAGTGGCGAGCTGCAATCGAGAACGTTCCGTGTCTGCATTTTATCAAATTATTTTTTTGTATAATTACACAGTTGTGAACCATTAGAATCCATGCTGTCTTAACGGGAGCCAATGCAAAAATAAACACTTTACGAAGAGGCCTGGCTGAACAACTATCGCGGCGGAGGTATTCTTCTCCGAATTTCATTTTGGCTCATTCTAAGATTACATTAGATTTATTCAGTCAAAGAAAAAAAACAGTATAAACTATATGTGACGAAGGGGGGAAAATATTTTCTATGCAAGTTTTTTTGAGTTCCAGAATCCCTTCCCGTCATTTTAACTATAAATAGTTGAAAGGTGAGTAAAAGTTTACCACAAATAAATAAATAAACAAATTTTAAAAATAAATTTGAAAAATCGTACGATTAGCAATATTTGAAAAATAGTCATTTTTATTTCTGAATTAAAGAAAACTTATTTGCATTGCTACACGAATTGCAAGTACGATTGTCGCATTCGAATTGCAAGTATGTATGTCTTAGGCGGATTCATTTGGGTCGGCAGCAGTGCGTCTATGTTAAGAAGTGATCACTAGTGTAGTACAAGGATCGGCGTATGAGGATGTGGACAACATTGAGTTGATAGGGGCTTTAGTTATCTGACATTTTGTTTCGCTTTCGTATGATTATTAATTTTATTGTGAGAATTGAGAAATGTGAATAGGAGAAAGTTTACGTATGTTGTTTGTTGGCAGATTCTAATATCATCCAAATTATTGACACTTGATCACGACATGAAAATTACAGGCTTGGTTGTAAACCTCGGTTTAGCAAAGATTAAAAGAAAGTTTGCGTAATTTTAGGATTTAATATTTTTCGTTTCCGGAAACATTTTTTATTGAATTAATAAAGAAAATTTAATGGAAAAAATCCTAAAGTTTTATAATGCACGTGTAGCAAGATTTCATCCGTACAGCAAATCCATCCATTCATTAACAATTTTATTTTTCAATACAATAAGTTATATATTCCTCGGTTTCTTTTCTGATGTCATCTAAAAGATTACTTCTCTCTCTAGGAATCCTAGACGTAATCTGCCACACGATTACATTTTAAAATCTAGGATGTTTCACACTCTTTGCCACCTAGATTTCTCCGTGAAAACCTTTCTTAAAAAACAAGTAAAATACACAAATTATCTGATGTTTTTAAAAAAAAATGTGATGCATTATAAGAATATTTTTGCATTTTATCTCTTTGCAACTATTATATCAAGGATTCATTTTCATTGAATATTAATTTTTAAGGTGAACGCCTATAAACAGGAATCATTTTTTCATTGTAATCTGTTTGTATCTGTGGCTACATTTACGTCAATTTTGTTTTTATTACCGTTAGAATCAGGCTAATTGCAAAATTGCATCAGCAAGGTCACGTTCTCAGTTAAACAAGAGTCTCTGTCAGCAATTATAAAGAAACAGTGTGACTTTCTAGGCTCTTGAGCTGCGGTTGTAAGCCGTTTGTCGGTAATATTCAATTTATGTAAGAGGCATGCAAAATTTTGATATGATTTTTTATAATCAAGTATATGAAAATAAATTACGTAAATAAAAATATGTAGTATCCACTACAAAATCATCATCGTGATTTTTATATACGTGTTTTCTGAACCTTTCCTTTTATAACTGGTTACCTCCAATTGAATATTTTCCTTAGAGCTTTTATTAAGCGGACATGTCGCGACAGCCTTTAACCCTTTACGTCTCGATGGGATGCATTTTCGACCATACAATATACACAAACACACTTGCAAGCTCCTCTGATGGGAGCAGAACGCGAGGCCCTTCGTGACTACACGAGAGACAAACAACCATACCCCTGGCAGGATTTGAAACCGCGACCCATCGGAACAATACGCTCTTTGCCACCTCGTCCATCCAGATCGTCTAATTTAATTTATTGAAATTATTTTTGAGTTTTTAAAATACATTTTAACATTAAGAACCCAAGCATTTCCAAGCGGATGACTTTTCCCCCCCGCTTTCACCTTTCTTTCTCGAGACCCTGTGACCTTCAATCCTGAACGCCCTTGAACGCAGCCCTACGCAAATACAAATACGGCGATGTTCATTTTGGGTCCCGTCAGCTGCGCAGCGTGCGGCCTCAGAGTATGCGGCGTGGATGGCCAGCGGGTGACCGGTGCGAGTGCGAAGAGAAGAGAGTAAAATGCGGTGGTTTTGTGTTAAGAATTTTACTACGTAAAGGCGGCTCGGTGAAGGCGCGCGCGGGGCGGGCGGCGCGGCGGCGGGCTGGTGGCGGCTGCAGCCAGCACTTTATGTTTCCTTTCCGATGGCGGCATCGGAGCGTAGCTGAAGCGCGGCAGTCTCCCCTCTCTCTTTGCCGTGTCCGTGCCCCTGGCCTTGTGAGTTGGTGATTGGCTCGGAGCGGCTCGGCCGCCGGCCGCCGCGCTTGCCTGCGCTCGCCCCAGTGGGGGCCACAGGCCCGTTCGCTCGTTCGCTGCAACCACCGGCCGCGCCGCCGTGGGCGAGCATGCCACCACTCGAGCGAGCCCGCCGGCGCCAGCTGACCCGTCTGGAAGCCCAATGCGCGGCCGGCGCGGTAAGAACGAAATGTGCTTTGCGTGCGTCTGCCGGCGCCGTGCGGAGTCATCGGAAAAGCAGCTGCCTGTGTGAAGTGGCCAGCCAGGCCGTCGAGGACGTGAAGAGCGCAGATGCATGCCGGTGGAAAGTGATCGGGTGAAGAAGAAGCAAGCGGCACGTGCCCCGCAGGATGACGAGGAGGTCAGGCCCCGCCTGTGCGTCGCCGGTGGCGGTGCGAAGGAACGCGGTCGACGGCGGCGTGTCGCCAGGTCCAGGGTACAGAGGCGCAGTCCGGGGGCGGGTCGGGGCGGCCGCTGCAGTGGTCGGCCGGAGCTCGGGGTGCCAGGGCAGGTGGACTGTGAGAGTGCGATCGGGAAGAGGAGGCCGCCGCAGCCGCAGCCGCAGCCATGAGTGCGGACAGCAGCGCAGGGGCGCGCATGTTCAGCTGGAGCGCCAACGCCGACGTCGTCAGGTGAGTGGCTGCCTCCGCCCTCGGCTGGCGGCGGACGGCACTGCTCGGCGGCGAAGGCGGGCGACGTCATAGGATTTGCAGGTCAAGGGTGACGATTTCTGTCAGCGTCCGTCGGGAAACTAGGCAAGGGTTGAACTTCGAAAGTTGTTTAGGAATGTGCCGGGATTACAAATGGATCCAACTGAAAAACGATCAAATTGAAACACATGTTGTTTCTCAAAACTTCGAATTTGAAAGTCATTGCGATTAAGAAATATCAGATTTTGGACACAAGCAAGCACAGACGTACCTTTATTTTAGTCGTTATTTACAAGGAACAGTTGGCTAATTTACCCTAATTAGAAATCAATGCTAGTATTTTCGTCATATTAGAATGTACGTTGTTAGATTAGAACACGATAAGAAGCTATACTGTAAGGCGTGCAGGAACGAAATGCCGGAACTAATGTAATGTCTGCTCTGGAGAATCCCTTTTTCTTTCATTTTGTTTCTCGATGTCTTTTTCGTTTCTGTATTAAATACTCCATTCATACGTACATAACGTAGAAGAGTTTTTATTTTTATTTTGCGAACAAATCCGGCTGTTGTTTACTCAGCACGTGCCACCAGCCTGCGCCGATCTAGATAGTCACTTCTCATCTTTGAAGGTCAAACTGTCAGACCCGTCTTTTCAATAGTATTTTTTTCGTAAGGAAATAAAATATTTTTTTTATTTAATTGTTTGTTGAACTACAATGTTCAGTTTACAGTAAAAACTTTGCAATTGTTTGATGACTAATCTAATTAACTTGATTTGGTTAAAATTTTACTTAATTAATCTTAATATAGGGAGAGGAAACAAAAGCACCTCAGGAGAATTATTCTATATTTGCAAATATCTGGAGGAAAGAATGGAGCGGGAATCTGTTCTTAATTCTGGTTTTGAATCTGGTATCTTTTCCGAGTCAGTAGTGAGTTGATGCCTTTATGAAGGATAAGTTTGTGAAAAAGTTGTTTGATAGGAATGCTATTTGGTGAGTTATTTCATTTATGTTTAGATCGTTATGATGTTTATTACGAATTAACGATGGTGCTCTTGTTATTGATCTTAAATATTTGTTTTGAAACACTTGCAATTTGTTGAGATTGGTTTTGGCGGTATTGGTCTAGATCGGGCATGCGTATAATAGTATTGGGCGAATGAGTGATTTATATAGCGTTAGTGCATTTGACAGTGGGAGGTGGTTGTATGAGTTTAGTAAAGGTCTTAATTGGATTGGAGTTTTTCATTAATATGTTCATCGAAAAGCAGCGTGATGGCAGTATAATTTTTATGCCCTCAGCTAAAACTCAAGACTCGGCTTGACACCTCACCTCAGTCGTGCGTAGTCTATTAACCTTTCACAAAGGCGTAGGAGCAGAAGGCCAAATGACTTTTTCTGACGAATTTAAATACGAATGTCCGCTGATTAGATAGGTCCAGGTAGGGTACGAGTGAAGAAGACAATTCATTATTGTGGAAACGTTATTCAAGAACAAAAAAAAATATTTATAACGATTCTCACGAAAATATTCCGCTTATTGCTTGCACATTATTGCAGACATTGAACTCTGTGCACAACGTCTCGAAGTACAAAGGAAACTGTAAATAACACAATGTAACCAACTTTCGAATGTCTCCTTGACTACTTGTTAGTAAATGTTAAAAGTTCAAAGTACCACATGAGGTGACACTAATACAGTGAAACCAAATCGGTTTGTGAGTCAAGAAGTTCAATCAATCGAGTACGTAATGTATAATGCTTCTCATTTTATTATTTTTCGTCAATTGTTTCTGAATGTATTAATCATATAAACACATTTAGAGAGGTTTACTGTTTTAAATTGAACGGCAATTACACTATTTCAAAACAATTAAAAAACAGATAATATTCTCAAATTATTTGATTTTATTCATATAAAACTTGAGTACATAATTTATGTAACAAATTCGTATGTAGAAATATTAAAAGTGATTTAGGTTTTGAAGTGATTCAACCATTATGGAGCTCTAATAATAAAAAAAATACTGTTTAGCGAATAACAATAATAATAATAGTAATAATAATAATAATAATAATAATAATAATAATAATAATAATAAAAGTAATCATGTATGTACTTGGCACTTAAGGGTCGGATTAATTCGACATTTGGCAGTTTGCGATGTTTCTACGCCTAGGTTGTTTTATCACCCACGCCTGGGTAAGGGAGACATGTGGCGAGTATGAAGTATTCCCTTCACTGTATCTAGCATACATGGCCTGCCCGAGATTTTCTTTCGTCACACAGCTATTGAAACCGAGACGATTGTAATAGAAAATTACAGCTCTATTTTTGCTCCAATCAGGAATCAATTCTGGGATCGTACCTCGGAAAGCTAGCACGTCGTTCATAAGTCACCAGAAGGGCAAAATAATCATCTAATACAATAATAAGCATAAAGTGGAAGTATAACCAAATTACATTATAAAATAGAAATAAAGACGATATATCTGCAAATTCTAAGTATCCTACAAAATATGTGTTTTAGGAACATGGCGAAATCATTAAAAGCTTTTTTACACCACTTTTACACCCTTTCAACGAGTCATTTTCTGCTGGGAATTCCTTACAAGCCAACCGAGGCTGCTTGAACATACGGCCATGTTTTGCACGTCAGATGTAAATATCTCTCTGATGTACCGTTTCAAATGTGAAGTATGTCTTCCCAGATGTCAACAAAAATCCTGTAATATAGTGGAAGGAATGAGTTTGTTTTGCCGGATGTTTGGATTCAGTAGCTGAAGCGAAATCTGAAGGGCGGTATTTCTTTACGGCATTGTTTCCTGATGTGTGGTGAGGGCGTTTCAAGTCGCAATTCAGTGATTGGTAGTTGGTCGGTTGACCTGCAGCCACATTCGTTGTTCAAAAATGTTTTACAACACTCGCAACATTGAGTGAGCTCTCAAAATTTGCAATTTTGAATTAAAAATGACATTCACATTAGAAAATAACTTCTATCAAATTATTGAGGTTCAAAATTAAATTAGTTAGTTAGAACATTTTTAATTAAATTAAATTTAAATTAAATTAATTAGTTAGAAAAGTTAAATTTAAAATGCGCTCTTTTTTCCTTCATGAATTGAGGTGCTGTACTAATCGTCACAAATGCTCTGAAAAAGATGGAAAAAAGATCGATTTATGATGTTTAATGTAAAAGTATAATTTTTTACTTTATTTCAAAATCCGCGATGCGAGATTTTGTATAAAGAATTATTTTTTTAAAAGAAAATGTAATAGGAAGATACTGTAACTTTCACGGATTCAAATACTTAGAAGTGCGGCAAGGAATGACGTGCTTAAAGGGGATTTTGTCCTGTCTGTTGTGTCTATTCTGCTGGCCATTGTGTCTCAGAACAATGTAGAGTGTGAACACGTCCTCGTGCAACGGAGGTTTCTCGGTCGAGAGGAGATGCAACTTGGAGAACAGATGAATTTTCAAAATCTTTCTCTTTCTCGTGCAGAGTAACCCTTAAAAGGTATGAAATCACTTAATCACGATAAAGATGTTGAATAATCACAGATTGGATGGATTGGAACGTGTACACACACACACACACACACACACACACACACACATATATATATATATATATATATATATATATATATATATATATATATATTATAAATGTGTACCGATCCTTCTGTATTTTGGAAACCCCATTTGAGATTTTTTTTCGGAACTAGGTGATATTAAATAGTATTCTAGGCACTCCTCTATTTTAACACTAATCATGTCAGTTTTCCGAGGGATCGAAACTGTTCAACTTAAAGAGTTTCTTTGTGTAATTTGTGGAGTTACATATGTGAAAAGGAAACTATGTATATAGCTCGAATTGCATCTGTGGTTTCAAGATCCTCGTGACCTTTGAGAAATGAATTTTAATTGTATCATTATCATTAATCTCGTGTTCAACGCGGCACTTGACCTAAAACGTTTCGTTAATAAATACCAGCAGTAATATGCGTTAAACAGGCCGTGTAGGCGGGCATGGTTCTTCCACAAGGGGCACTACCCATACTAACCTTGACGCATTTAACTTAGAGATGGGTAATTACTGGGTAGCGAATCTCTATGATTTTGCATATTTGTGTCCGTTGCTTGAGGGCACAGCTAAGATAAATTTCTTGAAATTTGGTTAGAGATGGATGCTATGCAGATTAAAATGTTAGTGCATATTTGGCCGATTTTTCCTGTTTGTGCATGTTCGTTTGGCTACAAGAAGATTTTTTTAAAACATTTCATGTTTTCATAGAATCTATTTATTTGTGAGCGTTCAGTGATTAGAAGGAGCTTGTCATAGTTTGAGGTTTCTTTTCTTTTCTATAGATGATAAAATTCTTGTACTTGTGCAAATGTAGGATATTTCTACTTATCTTTTTTTTTAAAAAACAGACAGAAAAAATGAAACAAGACATATAATGCACTTCACTAAAGTGCGTATTCACATAAATTATTTCTCCCGTAAAATAAGCTAGGTGATATTATGTTGATATTATGTTTGTACAGACGTGTATCTTTTCATTCCAAGCATGTTTCTCCTGAATTTTATCGAGAATGGTTTACATAGGAAATGAAATTTAATTTTAATTGTATATTGAAGTGAATATTTTGAATTTTTAGGTCCTAAATGCATATTTTTAAAATCACATTTCAAGATTTTTAGGGCATAAATTCCTCTTCCTAGAAATTATGTATTAAGGCAACATTTGAATTAACCTGCAGGAGTAGTGATGTCCGTAAAGCAACTAACACGCATCGAAAGTCCGGTTGGATAAAGGGCGAAGAAGTTGAAGGGGACCAAACTGAAAAAATCAAGAAGAGATTATACAGATTGCAGAAGTAATTTTCAGTGTGTTTCCTTTTTGAATTGAGCTTAGACGTTAAAAATAACTTATTGATTCATAATACACTTTTCATTTTGTTACATTTTTTA